TGATGACTGAAAAATATTACAAATTGATGAAAATTGAGAATTATATGTATTCTGGTTAAACAATATATCAAGAAGACCATATTTAAGCTCACATCTTTTGATCATTTCTGTCTATTATGATATTCATTCAACTGTTTAGGAAGTACATTTCAAAATTTTGTCATTTTGTTTAATTTCATATAAAAATACTACATAAGGATCAACTTCACATTAACACCATTATCACCTCTTTAGTGTATCCTACTGTATGATTACATACTATATATAAAAAGCAAATCCCAGATATTTCTCACATTAAAAATTACCTTTCTTGTTTTCAAGCACTCATTACCTATGTTCTCAGTGTTGTACAGCCAGTCACAAGCTGTGAATATGCTGTCTGCTGTTGTGTGATATATTTTAACACAATTTAGATCTGCACCCTGTTGTTTGAAAGACCTATTCTCCTTTCCTTTAACATAAATCATCATCTATCAGCAAACATAAGGAAAGAGTATTGAAAAATTGGTTCAATCATAGGCAGACATAATTTTTGTATATTGAACCCATGAATTATTAGGAAACTAAAAATGCTATGCAGGAAGACTTTCTTGTTGAAACTATCAGTCAGGGGTCTATTTTTGAAAAAGTGGACCTTTTACCATAAAATCTTTGTATACCTAGATCAAATTTTACTTCGAATGGACCTTTTCTCGGTGAAAAGGTGGTTTAATCGAACCCTCAACCCCCCTCCCCCACACTACAGGTCTGAGAAGTGCACTTATACTTTAAAAAATTGAGAAGGACCTCAAAGGTACTCTGACTGTCCTAATAACTGACTATCACTGTTCTTTAAGATGAGATTATGCTATCACAGCAGATATTACATTAAGGATTCGTATCACAGTTGTTCCATACACAATACAACCATGGAACACTATCTTTATTCTCAAACTGTTTCAACACTTGTTACTGACAACAGTTAAAGCTTCACCTTATGGTGGCAATCTGTCATTTTACGTTGATTATTAACAAGGTTTGTCTCCAAAAATAAGAATAAGGTCCATATAGTCCACAACACTGATGTTCCTGATCAATTCAATATCATTTTAATGATACTTAAAATACTTGAAAGTACAGTAATTACTCGATCTATCCAATGGGGGGGGGGAATTATGTTTTACAGATACTGTACTTTTTTTTCGGTCATAATTTCTTAAAATCAAAATATCTCTATTGAATGGTAACAACAAAATTAAAAAGCAGGCTACTCTATAGTTTTATTCTAGGTATTAAAGCACTATAAATGCTATACAGAAATACAATTTTGTGGTTATAAAATTATGGATCAGAGCATTTGATAATTTTTTTCATACTGAAAATAGTGAGTCATTACTGTATCAATATCTTTAAAATTAAAAAAAATATATTACTGTATTTGATAGTGCTGTCTACATAGCAAACCAATTTAAAACACAAGTTAAAGTATATTTTTCATAGCTTTCAACTATTTGACAGAATAAACATACAGCATTGGCAAAGTAATCTTCCCATAAAAATGATTTAAATGACAATAAACATTCTGATGTACTAAAAAAAACTCTGCTTACTGGGCTTGCCTTGCAAACTGTCTATCCTAAAACATTACTAATCATGCTTCATGTGTTTCATATTTCCATGGCATACCACAGTAACTTTGGATTACATGAACTTATCTCTGAAGGGCAATATTAAAGGGAGGTTTCTGCTTACATCATTGACATCTTTTATAAAACCCAAACATATAAAAACTTGAGCTTTCATATTTTGTGCAAGCGGTTCTTCACATAGCTGTTAGACAACTTTAATTGTGAAAAAATGCCTTATTCACAACTGTGCATAAAAATTCTAGGGAAGAACCATGTAATACAAAGCCTTGATGTATAGCCAACCCAACTCTCATCCTAAATTGGTAACAAGAAGATTCATTCTTTATAACAAATCACATCTATTTAAAATAAAATTCAATCTATAAATTGAGAGGGTTAAGCATATCTCAAAATCTATCTAATTTGCAGACAAAATTTGAGGGAAAAGAGCCTAACTCTAACATCTGAGCCAGTGTTTCATGACTTGTCATCTAAATGAGCTATAGACAGAACACGTTCTTGCATACCTTTGCTCTACCACATAAAACAATTCCAGGTGTGCCTTTAGAAGCTCCTCTAAATGGCTGAACATTACATAAAATTACACACACACATAGGCCCTCAAGGACATTTGAACTAAACAGCTGCATCAGTCCACATTCACAGATTAAAGGGAAAAAAACAAGTGACTTTAAATACATAAGAAGAGAATTAAATTTGCCAGGCTACATCCCCGCCAACTGTTACCATTTAAATTAAAGTTAAATTGCATGTATCTATAGATATAGATAATAAACTTTCACTACTTAATCAGAATGTCTAACTTTTCAAACTGGCCTTTCACAGAGTCTACAACTTACTGTGTAAAGCACATCAGCCAATTTGTTTAAACTACTACAATAAAAAAATATTCACATTTTTGGACAGTTTCTTTTAAAAAGACATAATCTTAGTTCATTGTTGTCAAAAAGAATTATAAATAACAGTGGGATTGGTAAAAACAACAAAAATGAAATAAAAGGGTCTATTACTTACAAAATTCTAGATACAAAGGTCCTCTTCCTAAAGATATTTCCTGTATGACTTCTCTTTTCTATCTGTCCTAGCCAGGCCAAATTGCGACCAATATTAATAACCTATTGTCACGAGTCACTGGATAACAAATGGCAATTGTTTCCACACAACTGCTCAAAATGATGAAAGTTTTATGTACAGATAATTGGGCGAGGCATAAGATTGGTGTTTTGTGACAGGATATGATGATTTGATTAATCAAGAAAAAATGAATTGCACTTGTGGATTATACAATTTCTATTCCTC